CGCTCTCCCACTACACGCTCTCCCACTACACGCTCTCCCACTACACGCTATCCTACAACACGCTCTCCCACTACACGCTCTCCCACTACACGCTATCCTACAACACGCTATCCTACAACACGCTATCCTACAACACGCTATCCTTCAATTTGCTATCCCTCCGTGCAGGTGTGCTGACCACGCTGCCCGCGCCGGCGATGGCCGGAAGTGAGAACATCCCGCCGCACCTCATCGAATGCTACCAGGACGAGGGGCTGTACCACCGGGAGAACCGGCTGCCGCACACCATCTCTGTAGTCGTCTCCCTCATCAAGCAGATCGAGAGCTCCCCAGGCTTCACTATGGACGCGCGCAGCCTGACGCTGTCGCTGCTCCACATGTGAGAACGCACCTCCGCTCTTCCGTGCAAGCGCCCAGGGACGGATTCAGGCACTGTGGGGTCCCTAAACACCGCGTTGTGGCCGCCCCGTCCCCCCGCTTCGGGAAAAATCCCCACAATATATTGATTCAGTTGCGAAACGAACTGTGTACTTAATATTCCACTAATGTCAGGTTTACCAAATATTTTTAAAAATGTTATAGAAATATATTGAAAAATTGCAAAACCAATAATTTACATGCCCAAGACTCGCGATTCCTGTGTTATTTTACTGTCATTCAGAGTTGTTAAAGGTCTTGGTCCGTCACTGTATGCATAAAGGCGTCGTACAAAATCAACAAAAGCGTTCAATACAATAAAATCTCGTGAAGCAGTCACAATTTACAAGTGTTATCGAAAAAGGAACAAAACTATGGCTGAAGCTACCGCGCAATGGTGGAATTCATAGCGTGAATTTATTATGGTAAAAGCCGTCATTAGATGCATTCGATCGATACAATTTCTCCACAACATGAGTATTTGAAATTCGAGTGATAAATTTGCGATTTATATTTTTTTCGTTAACATTTGATAAATCTACACAAAATTAGCAATTTCCGGCAAATCATTATACTACACCTGTCATTCTGACAATGCCAAGATGGTGCGATTGGCATAAGACATCCTTTGACGCAAAACAACTCTTCGGTAACGGATGTCTTATGTCAATCAACGTTAATGGCTTCTTCTCTGTATCCTAGATTATAGGCATTTTAAACTTCCACTCCTAACGTTACAGTATTTGCCGTGTGCTCATGAAGCGCACTCCCACATTCGGAAAGCGAGCGCCGTGCCGTCGTCGATTTCAGGTTCCGCGTGGACGGCATCGAGCGCGATCCCGAGGTGGTGCCGTCCGAGACCACCATCCCCTTCGGCCTCAAGGGCGCGCAGTACCACAAGCACCGCATCCTCATGCGGAACCTCATCCCGCGCAGCTCCTTCCAGTTCCCCAACGAGACGCTCTCCGTCCTCGAGAAGGTGAGTAAACCACGCACGCCTTTTCACGACGAGGGCCTCGGAAAATCTCAGCTCCAGGCGTATCTTGCAATTCTGTACGACTGCACCACCTCATACTTTCTTGATGAATACTCAGGAGTACGATAAAAAATTAATATTATTAATAATAACTTCGAAGCCAATCCACTTTCCGAGATCGCTAAGGCAGTAGTGTCGTCGTGGTCTCGGAACAAAAGATCGCGGGATCGGGTCACGTCTCCTTCACAGTTGTGTTTGTGTGTTTTACATGTTTTTGATTGTCCGTTTCATCATCATTTTCACACCTCATCTCCCAGGGCTAACAATTGTAGAGGGGTAAAAATGGACACGGCAGAAATGCTAATACCCCCCCGTTCAAAATTCACTTGAATTTCCCCAGGATAAAATATGACTGGGCTGCACGTTCGCGTGGTCCGTAGATGGCCAATTCGCGACCAATAATAATAATAATAATAATAATAATAATAATAATAATAATAATAATAATAATAATAATGTAGAAATTCCCAGTGAAGTCGGAAAAGTGATTGCGGCCAAGCTTTTGAATCCCTAGCAGGGGCGTAGCGACCATGAATGTATTTGAAGCGCTGCTTCTCTTAATACAAAAGCGCAATATTTACATTTGGAAACTGCAAAAATATTTTAGTTTTGTAGCACTTGCATCCCGAAGTTCGTCAACCGAAATAAATTATGAAGGTCGATGTTCTGTGAGGGTTTACAGCTAGTTTGCAGTTTCAAAGCTTCAATAGATTCAATTGTGTAATTACTACCGCAACACTTACGTGAACGACCGAATCTCAGCAGCTGAGGCCAAGGTCGACTGCTACACGAACCCGACTGAAATACGATCCCGAGAGGTGGAATTTGAATTCGAACCGTAAAAAATAGTCTGACGGTATGTTATCTCCTATTGCTCTGTATGTTCTTTTTTTTTTTTTTTATCTTGGGCGTTCACCGCCCAAGACTTACACTTAAATGATCTACACTACCACACATGCCGAGAGACCAGTGGGGAGCTTACAGCTTGTCCCGGCTGGGGGCGGTGCCTCGCAGGTGGGAGATACTTCGTCGAGGAAAACCTCGCTAGCCGACAGTAGGTCGGCGCCGGATCTCTCCAGACATCGGGGCAAGATCACCGCTACTTCCCGACCAAAAAACACGCTCCACACTTACGGGACTGATGGCCGTAGCTGTTGAAGCGCTCAGAATCACTCGCAATCAACCAATCAATCAATCGTCTGCCCGCAGTGCTCGCTGCACTTCATGATGTCCAACTCGTTGGACACGATCGAGCGCGGCGACGAGCGCGACACGTGTCGGGACGTGTCGCGCAGCGCCCCGTCGAGCCAGCGCCGCCAGCGCCGCGACGCTGACGCCGACGCCCCGGAGATCGAGGACGACGCCGACATGTCCGTCGCCGCCGCCGCCGCCGCCGCCGCCGCCTCTGCCGACCAGGAAGGCGACCCCGGCAGCCGGCCCGACGTGGCGGACGACGACGGCGACATCCAGGACACTGAGGTACGTATCGCGCTATTTGCAGGAAAGTAAACACTTCCAGAGCATCTGCCATAAGAATTCAATTCACAGCTCTCGCTCCTCCGTCAACTTGAGATGGTGTCGTTCAAGCGTGTTTCACTAATTACGCCGAACAACTTTCTTCATTAATTTTCCAGGTTTTCCAAACCAATTTGGACATTTTATGATCACTTTACGAAAGTATTTTTTTTAATATTTCGAATAAAATAGTAATGGGTAAGCAATGCACACAATACAGAGTGTCTCGGAATAAATGTGACAAACTTCTATGTAGAGGGACTTTTGGACTTTTTTTCAGCTTGATGGCCAAAATTACTCACTGCGCGCTGTCAGAAAAAAATTCTAGTTACCATCTGCTCTGATCGGTAGTTTTCCGTGCCTTTTCCGACCAACACCAAACGAATGCCAGAGCAGTATCCCAACAACGGGCCACAGACCGCGCACTCTTTTCCTTGTCCTACCCTCATCCCTACCTACAAATTACACGGGTCTCATGACCATAATACTTGACGCGCCCGGTAACACGAAATAACCAATGAATCGGCTGGTTCATAAATTGTTGAAAACTAATTACTAAAGAAATTAAAATTTAATTAATATACGTACATATTCTTCACGAGTGCCAAGTACTATGCCTATATAAGAAAATGTGAGATAAAGATGATGCAGAAATTGCATTTTAATATTTTAACATGTAATAATGAAAAGAAAATAGAATAAATCCCCAATCCCCCTCGCGCAGAACGCGAGCACCTCTCAGAGCACCACTAGCCCGCCGTTGGAACAGACTCGTCTTCATTTTACTGCAGGCGTTGTACTCTTCAAATTGGTATTTTGACGATGCTCATTTTCTGTACCTGTTAAAGAATCTGTCACCGCGTTATTCTCGATTGCAGAGTGAATAAATCTAATGTAATATACAATTTTAAATACAAATTCAAAGATTGCATTGCATTACAGGATGATCCAGCCGCTGATCCAGTTGCGGCTGGTGCACCCGCCGCCCCCGCTGCCGCCCCCGCTGCAGCTGCCGCGGACCCCGCCCTGGAGAACCAGTCCGCCCCCGACGTGGAGGAAGACGTGTCAGGACACCCGGACGCGGAAGTTGTGTGAGTTCCATGGCTGCCCGAAGTCTGCATTACGTAATTTGTTAAGTGAAGGATCGTTGTTCAACAGACATTCATATACAATTTATTCAGCACCTTATCCCCTAAGAACACTGGGACCGCCTTAATTCTCTACTTAACTGCCGTCAATTTATAATTACGAAAATCAGTCTTCGCGTTGAACCATGAAACCCCCGTATTTTTATTGTGTGAATCGTAGATTTCGACACTTGAGATTATATAACATTCCAATCGCGTATTCCCAACTAGCACAACAAATGGCAAATCTTAAATTAGAAGTTTGGAGCGCTATAAGGACTAACAACGTTTCCATACTTATTTGGAGTAGGAGGCACAATGCTCTTAACAAATCACGGCAAATACTCGAAAAACGGTGGACTCCCCTTTTTTAAATTCCAGAACGCAACATTATCCACAACTTCGGAGATAAATAAAATCAGGATGCGAAAGCATACCCTGCACATATTAGCTTAATGCATTGATACCTGCAAGAATTTGGTATATTACTTCATCACAACGCACAATGGCTATATAAAAAATATGCAATTTTACAGAAGAAATATAAAATCAGACAAAAATTATTACTTTCTTGCATGCTGCTTACGCAGAATAGTGGAACAATTGTAATGCTGCGGGGAAGAACGAAATTTTTTTCGATAGTAAAATTTATTATCTAGCAACGGTAACGCAAGCAGTTTTTTAAACTTTTAAACACTTATTTTCTCAAATTATTTTCATTTTTTTTACCTCGTATCTCAAATTTTTACCTCGTACGTATTATAGAATGGTAAAAAAAGGTAACCTAGTCATATTTCCGGCTAACACATTGTATTTTAGAAAATTGCAAGAAGGTAATATTCCAAAACTATGTGTACCGGTCTGGATATCCGAGGTTGATAAGCTGAAGGGCCGTTGCTGCTTCGTGCCTGAAGGGTCGCGGGTTCGCTCGGCGTATGATGTTTGTGTCTCCGTACAGATATGCGAGTTGCACTACCATTACTGCTATCCCCCAAAGTTACTTGCAGTGGTCGCTGTATGACCTTAGTAGTTGAAATAGGGCCTTAACTAAGTAAAACTAGAGTAGCTAAAGCAGCACATACTTTCTCACCCGCACTTTCACGCAAAATTACGCGAAAAGTACTCAAAATTTCAAAAAATTGTACCTGATCTTATTTCAAATCTATCTTTAAGAAACACATTTCATTCATCGAAAAAAATAACTATCTTCATATTTGTAGTTGTAGGAATCTGCTTTTTCGAAAATCATATTTTTCAATGAACATGAAACCTGTACCATTCTTTTAAACGTCATTTACATTATCCAAAAACAAAATGTAATCAAACACAGATAGACAGATACACAGAACCGAAAATTCTCCGTTTTTCGCGTAGCATTACTACTGCATAAGTGATAGCGATTAAGTAAAAATAGGAAGGCAGGAATAGGGAAAGAGGTAGTTCACATCACTTCACTTCACACGTTCGCAACTCGGCATACCTAATCACAAAATCGAAATGGCCGTAGTATAATAGCCGTAAATAGTAGTTGAAAAGCGACCTAAAAAAAAAAAAAATAAAAAATAAATAAATAAAAAAGACTGTTGTGCGCAGCGCCAACGGCACCAACGCGCAGCGCAGCGGCGCCTTCACGTGGGGCGCGGACGGGGCGGAGGCGCGCGGCGCCGCCAACGCGTCGGCGGCGGCCAGCGGCAAGCTGCAGGCCGGGCCCGGGTCGCGCAGCGCGCGCGCTGAGGCCGCGCAATCCGACTGCCCCGTGGAGAACGGCGTGGTGTACACGCGCTGGGGCTCCGTGCAGCTGGGCACGCTGCTCGCCGGCATCGCCACGGGCTTCGAGGCGCAGTCCGTGGCCGTGGGCGACGTGCGCGCCGGCTCGCGCACCATCAGCGGCATCAGCGACGCGCTCCAGATCGACAACCGCTACGCCGCCACGCTCGCAGGTACGCTCGCGCCGAGCACGCGCGGACAGGCAGCGGCAGAGACACGCGGAGGGCGCCAGGCAAGAGAGAGAGAGAGAGAGAGAGAGAGAGAGAGAGAGAGAGAGAGAGAGACAGCAGACAGACAGACTGGCAGGCAGACAGAGAGACTAGCAGGCAAACAGAGAGACTGGCAGGCAGACAGACAGAGAGACTGGCAGACAGACAGAGAGACTGACAGACAGACAGAGAGACTGACAGACAGACAGAGAGACTGACAGACAGACAGAGAGACTGGCAGACAGACAGACTGGCGGACAGACAGAGAGACTGGCGGACAGACAGAGAGACTGGCGGACAGACAGAGGGACTGGCGGACAGACAGAGGGACTGGCGGACAGACAGAGGGACTGGCGGACAGAGGGACTGGCGGACAGAGAGACTGGCAGACAGAGAGACTGGCAGACAGAGAGACTGGCAGACAGAGAGACTGGCAGA